CAGGAGGTACTTCTAGAGAGAAAAGATTATGTGTCCTCCCATGAGTGCATGTAGTACTTAACATGCAAGTTAAAGAGACTTGCAGGCTATATCAAAAGAAAGAAGAACAGCAGAAAAAAAAATACAGGGAAGAGAAAGGTGAAAAACCATGCTAAACTTTCATTGTGTATGGTTTCTGCCATTTGCTATATTCAGTGGAATTTTTGAAAGGATGCTTACTCAAATTCTAGCAAATCAAACTCAAGGAAAAGACTAGCATAACAAAATAAAATAACCTTTGCTTTTTAAAATGCAAAACTGTGTTTAAACCGCCTTCTTGTCCAATCCACAACAAGCTTTTCTCGGTACACTTTTCTTGGTCGCAAAGCGATGGCCACACTGACCTCCTGCTCTTCATCTAACCACGCTTTAAGGACTTCAACCTGAATTGCTAGTTGATGAATCTGTGTACCTATGCTTCATTGTCACTTACAGCATACTCTGGAAACTGCAGATTCGGACGTGTTCGCCAAACAACTAGCAGAAACCTACAGTCTTCTTACTGCCTCCTTCCTTACTGAAAAGTTAAGCTAAACAAGCCTCGAGCTTAATTTCCAAGCTGTTTTTTTCTCATCTGTTTCGATAAAGGTAAGCTCTAATGTGCTTGCAAGTTTGAATGACAAATTGCTTATGGGCAATCTAGAAATGGATCTTGACCTACAAGACAAGGAAACCGCGCTTCACTCCCACCCCAAATCATAAGAAAACAGGACACATTCACTTCAAGTTTCCTCAAAGCACTTGGAAGAAGCTCTTTGTCTAGCAAAGAAAGGAACTAGTCTTTCTTCTGGCAATATTTTAGAGGAAGATGAATTAATTTAACTTAAACTTGCTACTAACCCGCCCTCCTCACACTTAAGTAGGGATTTATATTGTTTTGTATATATATATAAAAAGATCTTTCCAGTTTCTCAACCTACTAAATGAGAGTTAAAAAAAAAATTAAACCTACCATAAAATATTTTTGGAGGTTAAAATATTTTTGCCAGGAACAAACAGCAGCAACTTCTGGCTCTGTGCTGCCTACGCACCACTTCGACGTGGCCTGAATACCACTAGTGGTATCTACCTCTAGTCTGGGAACTCCTGTTCTCACTCACTGCTTTTTCCTTACTTGATGCTGTTAACGTAGGGCGTTGGTCCCATCAAACTCAATAAATACTCAATAACACTTTGAAAGTAGTCCCTTGATTCATATAGACTTGAACAAAGACCTGAGCGAAACGAGTTAATGGCAAATATGTGCCCTTTACACTTTTTTGTTATAGAGATGCAGTTAAAAACTCAGAGACAGCTCAAACTCTCAGAGTGAACACTGTATTTTAAAGACTTAGTTTGCCTTTTGGAAATTTCTATTGAAGATTTTATTTGAAAACAAATTAATTATTAGTTTATACTGTCTGCAGTAAAAATTCTAACACGAGTGGTTTGTGTGAAGCCATATTTTCTTTTGCAAGGATTTATTCTTTAAAATACAGAACATACTCAGGTATTATTGTATTTCAATGTTGCAAGTGTACTGTAAAAGTAACTGCTTTCTTTACAATGATCAATCTCATCAATACAAGCTACTCTGTTCTAAATTCCTAAGTAAATACTTACATAACCCTCTTGAAACAGTAACCAGTTATATACAGTAACCATTTCCTATGATGAATTTTGAGAAAGATTATTTTGGGAAATGCTCTTTCAAACAGCTGCTCCACACAGCAGGCAAAGTACAGGAGCCAGTCGGCACCCATAAAGTACCACTTCACATCGAATCATAAAGCTGAAGGCTGCATCCTAATGAATATGTGCTGCATCATTGTCAGACCTTGTTTATTTATGTTTTGCAGCACCCAAGCTGCCTGTTAGCAAGTGCAAACCTCCTTGACAAAGTAAAACAAGAAAGATGTTCAGCTTCTGTTCAGATTTTAAATGGAGAAGTGATTGTGTCTTTTTCTGAAGAGAGAGTTTACTAATGAAACCTCAAAATGTTTGATCACAGTACAGTGGTGCATAAATACCTATTACAGTCTAACTAAGCAGACAAATTCCATTTTCAGCTCTCCAGGACAGATTTTAATCTGAATTCCAGTGCTTTCAGTCTGTTTGTACATACAACAGGGATATGGTGTGTTGAATAAGAAAAACTGGACTTTCACAGGACAGCTAGTGCATGTACGTCTATAGTACATTATGCATACCTTGATCTATTCCTTTGTATGACAGCTTAATTTTAGGCGTACGGTGTTGTCTAGAGTGCTGCAGCAGTCCCTTGGTGCTGGAAGCTGTTAATCTGTGTTTTGCCAGCCTGCCTTTGTCTCCAGGCTGAGGTCGTACTGTATTTTCATTACTTATTAAAAATAGTTGGTAGTATCGTCACACTAGTGTGATTAACCTACTTTAAAAAGGAAATTAGGTCAGTTACTGTATTCATGCCCAGCCTTCAAGCCTCACGTATCGTTACAGCTCTCTTGCGTCCTACAAAGTGGGCATCTTTCTGTGGAAAACAGGTTTCGGTGTGCAGCAGCCTGCTTCATCTCACGCTCGAACACAACACTGGAACAAACACGGTGGGGTAAAGGCCCCATCACTTGTTATTACTTTCTGTTGATACAAACCACTTGGCCAGAGAAGAAACACAACTTACTGTAGACTGTTAAGAGGCACTCCATTAGCAGGTGGTTTGCGACGGTGAAGACAAATTGGGCTGTTATATACTTCTGATATTTGAAACACACCTAAAAATCAGACTCCAAAACAGCCTTTGAGGTTATATTCACCAAAGCACCTAGGAACACCACTCTCAAACCTACCTTACTGAAACGGAGACAACCACTGACAGAGGAATGCACTTGGCTAACCACCAAGCTACTAATCCTCTCTGACCAGAGATCAGGGAGGGAAGGGTTGACAGTACCCTACCTTCAGTAATAGGTCACGATCGCTATTGTGGCATCTGAAACACTGGCAGAAAGAAGCAATTTTTCACGCTCTGTGCAGCTGCCACTGTCTCAGGCTAGATGCAAAATACAAGGCCCAGCTGCTTATCCGTCGTGCAACAATCAGGAATGCAAGCATTCACAACATGAAAGAAAGTCTCAGTGGTCCATGTCTCCACTCACTCCATCCTCAGCTTTTTTAAGTCCTCCTTTGCTCCTAGTCCCTTATTTTTTTCACTATGGATACTAAGTGAAGCACAAGTTCAGAAATTACAATTGCTCATTTAGGCAGGGGAGTCTGTTGTGCATCCCCAAATGGAGCTCACTCCTGCCTCTCATCACCCACAACTCCCTATGAGAGCACCAGGACAGAGCTCAAGTTTGTTGCTTTCAGAAAAACCTTTATTCTGCCTCCATTTTCCCCATCTGAGGAATATTCATTATTGTCTTCCCAGTAAAAGGACAAGATTAAGCTCTAGATACTACAAGAGGAAGGCAGAGAGATAATTACCACTCTGGCATTTCTCTGACAATTCTTCCTCTCCAAACCAGTTCACAGTCTCTCCCACTTCCACATGGAGGCAGGAAAATCAATGTGTAGGTAAAACATACTGCAGCTACATGCAATTTCCTATCTGCACCTAGGAAAAATAACTGAAAGTTAATAGCATGCTTTTTCTCTGCAAGCTGATCTACAGCTAACAAAGAGACTGCAATTTCTGCATATTAATTACACTCCAGAAAAGGAGAGAGGAAAGAAAGTAGGACAAATCCAGATTGTATAGGGCATTTCTTTCTCTAGCATAATGAGCTGCCACAATTCAACCTTCAGCATTCATTGGTACCCATTTCTCCTTTCCATGTTTACTCACATGCACAGACACTGCTGAGAAAGTCTGAGTCACCAGGAAGCCTAAGATTACTCAAGGAACATAAGAGCTGCTGCAGAGCCACTCCCACAAAAGACCATACAGAAAAGCCTCAGGAATCCTCAAAAGCACACTCGTGACTCCTTACTATGGTACTTTTTAGCAGATGACAGAAAGAAAACCTTTCCTGTTTTGTTTTGTTAAAGTGTCCAGAGAAGGCAAAGGACGAAGCAGCACACAGCACATAGAGACTCTCCCATTCCCTTGGGTCAGCTTAAAAGCAAGTGTCTAAGTTACACTAACAACATCCTGTGCAATCTCTCTTCTCTGTCTTCTTTAGGCAATGCATGGAATACGAGGGCAAAGGAACATTGCCAGGGGTGTCCCTGTGAATCCCACCAAGCTGGGACTGACAACTTTTAGATAAAGATTTTTCTTTTTCTGATTCCCAGGTTCATCTCCACACAGGAGCCAACTGAATGTTCCTTAGCTGCAAAGCAGACCTGGATTTTGTAACATGATGTTGTTGCCTCAACGTTCCTCAAAAAAAATGTGTAGACTTAAAGAAGAAATCAATGACAGTATCAGTAAGCATCATGCAGATCAAAATAGCATTTATTACCTCTACAGCACATGACACATCAGCAGGTATTTTTTGTCTGTTCACACCATGGAGCTAACACAACTAAGAAGCAGAAGCAAGTTCCAAAGACATATGCAAGCCAAATCAGCTCACACAGGTAAATGAAATGACAGATGCCAACTGCAGGATGGACAGCCTAAGAATAATAAGATGTTTGCAAAATCTTCGCTTTTTTCTGGATCATTACAGGTCAAGCAGAGTCACTTCTCCATTGCGTAATAAACGCTCATTTTGCGTTGTTAAATGTCACTCCTCAGAGTTAATGGCTTCAAGAACCAGGGATAATCTCACACCCAAATTAAACAAATACTGCCACAACAACTTCTTGTTTTGTAGCAACATACTATATCCCTGGCATTTGCCTCATCAATCAGAACATACTGCAGACAAAAACTGTAAGCAACAAACTTGGAAACAGCCATCCCACCCTGCCACTCTCTGCATGGGTAGGTAGGCAGGATGTTCAGCTCTTCCCCCACATAAGCAAGCAATGACATTTTGCAGAGTTCACATGTTCTTTACCTTGTAGCAAACATTGCTCTCAGGGAAGAGAAGGTAGCAGCATCTTCTTTCAAAGCCTTCAGCTCATTTCGCAGCTTCATCATTGTCTCCGTAACCATAGCTTTCTCATTTTCATACTTGCTTTTTAAGTTGGCAAGGGCTACCTCTGCAGTCTATTGTTTACCAAGAACAACAGAAACATACTAGTTAATGAAACTCCTCACAAAGCAGACGGCTAAGAGACTTCTAATCACTGTTCACATAATGAAACATTTACTTCTGGTCAACTTCTCTCATATAGATTAAATAAAATTTCATTTTTGAACACTGGAAATAGATTGGACATATTGGTCTCCTACTCCCATTAACCATGCAGCAGCACCTGGGATGTTACAGAACATACATTTAGTGACATCTGTCTCCAACTACTAAAAGAAATTAAACTTTACATACTTCAATACAAAGAACAAAATAGTCTATTTAGTATCTCTATATTTAAACACTTCTGTCAATCACTTACACAGTTCTCTAACCCTTACAGCATTTTGCCTGTCTTGCATATTGGGACACTTTTACTAAAAATGCAAAAGAAAACTGAAAGTATGTATATATTTCTTAAACACTATACTACTATTTTTTTTTTTTAAGACAACTTCAATTTGCATTACTTTAACTTTAGAGGAGACAATCAAGCACGTCACACAGCGTCTTAATGGCAGTTAGTTTCATCTACTGCACTGCTAATGTGTATCAAATGGCACAGCCCAATCCCCAAAGCCTAATTTTACCTTTCACGCCTGTTATTTTGACCATGTTCTTATATCGTATCCTAATCTTGGAAGGCTTTCTTTTATTTTGCAATTTGAGAGAAAAGAGTACTTAAGAACTCTTTTAAGGGTAACTACTAGAAATCTTTCAAGTAGAAAATAAGATTTACCTCTTCATATTAGGTTTCTTACATTAAATATAATCTGACATAATTCAGACAGGCAGTAGACTGAAGCTACCATTAGCTTCACATAAAGTCTCAGGAGTATGTGACAAGCAAAAGTCAGTTAAAGCCCCAGAGCTCAGCTTTACAGTAGGACAGCTGCATGCCTCTAATGAAACAGCCTGCTTCAGCCTTGTACCAAACAAGTACCAGGAACAAAAGCCTCACTGAGTTGAGGGTATGGCAGTATGACCTCAAAGATAAATTCCCTTGTGTTTATGACCTCGTTCCCTGACACTATAACATACCCATCTGTAAGACCTAGTTACCTGTTTGTTGGCCTTCAGCACAGTTCTCAGAGTTGCTATCTGTTCTCTCTTGGTGCTCAGCAGGGACTTCAACTTCAGGATTTCTTCCATGAGAGCTTCCTTATCTTTGTCCACCACTGGCCCAAGTTCTTGAGTGGCAACACGCTGCCTGGACAACTCGGTTGTTCTGTCCACAGCAGCTTGCAGGTGTTTGATCTGATCCCGGATTATAGCGATCAGGTTGTAAATGTTCATTGGTTCCTTCCGAGGATCTGACACAGGAGATGGCAGAGATGACACTGGAGATGGGCTGCTGTCACCGCTTCCACTCTCTGCCTTTCCTAACTCTATAGTTAACAGCCCTTTAGAAAGAAGAATGGGAGACCTTCTTCCCTTGGTCTCTGGACTACTGCGTCCACCTTTACCTTCCTTGTAGTAATCCAGCATCACTCTGTTTGGAGTTTCATTGTTGCACATGCAGACATGGTGATATAAATTGGCCAGTTCTTCACTGAAGGTGACTAGTTCATCTTGGGCCACGCTGAGGCTGCCCTGTGTCTCTCCGGCAACATCACTGACTTTCTTCAGCTCCTTCTCCAGTCTGGCCACCTGTTCTCTATCGTGCCTACTGGATTTTTCTAGTGAGGTGATCTTTTCAGTGAGAGCTTGGCTCTCAGTCTCATTTCTGCTCTTCTCTTCCTCATACTTAGTCTCACATTCTTTGCATTTGGCCTTAAGATTTTTGAGCTCTTCTTTTAGGTCAGTAATCTCTGCCACAGCCACTTTGTACTTGCACTCCAGGATCTCTGGCCCATTGATGTCAACTTCATAATAGTCTCCATCTTCGTGGCTGTCCCGGTCCTTCTCATTGTCAAGGGCAGACTGACGTTCCTTGCTGACCTGGAGCTTCTTCATTGCGTTCAGGTTTTCTGTGAGTCTGCCAACTTTCTCATGCTGCTCCGAGAGGGCCCCCCGTGTATTTTCCAGCTGCTTCTGAGATTCCTGGAGCGTTGTCAATAAGTTCACCTTTTCTCTTTCCATCTGAAATCCATGAACACACACATCTAGGTAAAGGGAACTGCATCACTTAAATGGTTTTATTATAAGAGACAGCAACTTGGCCGAGGTCCATATGGTTACAGAAATCTAACCACTTGCACATTATGGAAAAGGCTGTTTAATTTATTCTAAAACTACCTCAAGCACGGCGTTCCTTGTCAATTCTTTTTTATTTCCACTTCAAAATGCACATTTTTACACATTGCTTCCATAGCTGATGGTCCTATTATGAAAACATCCTTTCAGCTGAAGATAAGCTAAAGTTTACTGTTATCTTGCAAATTACTACATAAATATTAGAAAACATACAGCTAGTCTATGGTGGAATATTGGAGCTTTATGAAAGACTCAGAAATAATGAAACTTCTAAAGTTTCTCCTCTGAAAATTCTCATTTTGAAAAAATCCAACAATTTTTTTCCACAAAGGGTTTTTCTTATAGAAATTAAGAACTCAAAAAATGCTTGACAAAACTTTAAAACATTTCTAGGCAACACGAATATGTAGCTTGTTTCAAATTCACCAACCTCCCAATAGCACAAATGGAACACAGGAAGCTTGGTTAAAACTTCACGTTCTTTGAACTAACTACAGAAAATACCTATGGTGTACAAAACTTCTGATGAAGATGACTGGAGTAACTATCAATTTTTGAGCAAAATACCATCTTTCTTGCTAGTAACATAATGAAGTAGACACAGCACATACTGCACAGAAGATGCATTACAACTTTCCTTCAAACATGGAACACGACTGCTAGCTTCTTTGTATTAAAAAACCCAAAAAGCTATGGTTTTCCACTGACAAACATTTAACACCCTCAAGTTTTAAATCAATCTGAGCCTTTACAAATATAGTTCATACTGTACGGTGGCCAAGTGAGATGCTGAAAAGACTGGAATTAGAACCCAAATAAACTCTAACAGCTATTTGGAAGTACCCAGCTGTTTAGGAAATCCATTACCTGTACAAGCTGTTGTTTCAGCTTCTGGATTTCAGAAATGTTTAATTCACTCAGAAGATCTGAAACCAGACTTGGGGCTGGAGGGAAGCTTTCATTTTTCTTGGGTGTTGATGTACTATTCTTGCCATTGCTGAGTTTGCTGAGGCAGTTTTGTTCAAATCCGTTCATGATTTCATCATTATTGGGCTCTGTGGCTTCATCACTGAACTTCAGTCCATCCAAAGAGATGTTCAGGTGGCTGTTGTACATGGAGTCATTGATGTTCATGTAGTGAGAGAGCTCCTTACGAAGATTGTTCTTCTGTTCCCGCTCTGTCTTCAGCGTCTCTAAGGCCTCCTCGAGCTGGCGTTCAGAGATCTCCTTCAGCCGTATGGCATCTTCTAGCTGGCTGTTGAGAAATTCGGTTTCCTCTTCAAGCCTTTTGATTTCATGTTTCAGGCCTTCAAACTCCACCTGGAAATACGCAAATGGAGGGGAAAAAAAAAACCCTAATGAATATGTCTGCCTTCAAGGCACCAACTAATCTTATTTCTGAATGTTCAATTTCACTAAATATGGTGAGAACAGAATAATTTTTTCAGTTCTGGCATCTAGTTTTGGCACTATGACTGTAAACACTGCATAATTTACCTTCACAGAGACCACAGAATAAAATTGCTAAGCAAATCATCGAATAAGCTGATCTATTCCAGCTTAATTAAGACAGTTGGGAAATACAGTGTGTGATACAGAGGCATCATAAACCAAGGTTTCCTAGCACATTATGCAAACTCTTGCTCTGATTGATTAACAAATTCCCTGGTCAACCTTCCCACAAATTCAAGCTCAACATTTCCAAAACCCAGCATTGCAAAGCAATGCTTCCGACACTCTGCTGCACTGCTCTTAGAATACAGCATTGGGCTTAAAACTGTTGGGATGCATCTAGCAATCAAACTCTGCTTTTATGCATTCAAAATAAAATGTTTTATCATTTCTGTCACCACCATTTCAACACATCTCAAGAGTGCAACAATTCAGACCCCACACTTCAGACTCATAATGCTGCTACATGAAATTTAATGGCATGCTCCAAGTTTTTACCTGTAAAATTGCATTTTTTTAAAATCTCTTGCACTGGAATTATGAACACCAATTATTAGTGTAAAATTTTTAATCTCTTGGGGAAAAAAAAAGCCTAAAGAATACCTTTTCCTTGCCTCAAAAGAAAGGAAAACATACCCGATGATATATGACCCTGTCTATTTTTGTCAACTGCTGAAGGAATTTTAAATGCCAACATACACCCAATCTGGTAGTGCAGAAGCACCTGATTTAAAAACCAGGAACCAACCGCATGAATTCACCTTTGCAAGTTAAGCCTGGGAAAACTTGATGGCTTCTTCTAGTTACGTTAGTAGGACAAGTAAGGCTTAATAAAATTAATCCAGTAGGATTAGGACAAGGTAGAAAATGAAACAACCCATTGCCATGAAAAGAATTAGCTCTTGGTTCTATACATGTCCACTGAGCTCAAATATTTAAGATTGCAGACTATTTTCAAAGGCTCCAGAACAAACACAGTAGTCAATAATTACTTGCAACTAACAAGATAGCATTCAGATACAGACTGGGCGACGAGTGGATCAAGATCAGCCCTGCGGAGAAGGACTTGGGGGTGCTGGTGGATGAAAAACTGAATACAACCCAGCAACGTGCACTTGCAGCCCAGAAAGCCAATTGCACCCTGGGCTGCATCAAGAGCAGTGTGGCCAGCAGGTCGAGGGAGAAGATTCTGCCCCTCTACTCCACTCTGGTGAGACCCCACTTGAAGTGCAGCATCCAGCTCTGGGGCTCCCCGCACAAGAAGGACATGGACCTGCTTGAGCGGGTCCAGAGCAGGGTCACGAAGATGCTCAGGAGGCTGGAGCAACTCTCCTGTGAGGACAGGCTGAGAGAGCTGGGGTTGTTCAGCCTGGAGAAGAGAAGGCTCCAGGGAGACCTTATAGTGGCCTTCCAGTTCTTAAGGGGGGCCTGCAGGAAAGGTGGGGAAGGACTCTTGATCAGGGAGCATAGTGATAGGATGAGGGGGTAATGGTTTCAAACTGAAAGAGGGGAGATTTAGATGAGAAAGAAGTTCTTCACCATGAGGGTTGAGACACTGGCACAGATTGCCCAGAGCAGCTATGGCTGACCCCTGGCAGTGTTCAAGGCCAGGCTGGATGGGGCTTGGAGCAATCTGGCCTAGTGGAAGGTGTCCCTGCCTGTGACAGGGGGTTGGAACTACATGATCTTTAAGGTCCCTTCCAACCCAAACCATTCTGTGATTCTATCTGAGGTTAAATTTGGGTCAGCCCAGAATGACAGCATTCTTGAATATCGTTATTTTAGAATGTGAACATGGAACTGGGAACTTTCACTTGCTCCTCTGAATACAATGAATGAGACAAAACCCCCATAAAAACCCAAGAGTAACCAACTACATAGTAAAAACCAACCTATCTCTTCCAGTCTGCATCTAGAACGTAATAGACCCTTCATCCCTACCACATGATGTCAGGGCACCCAAAACAGTGTAATTAGACAAATACATTCAGGTGAGAACAGGTCCAACCTGGAACCCCATTTTTGGTGCATCAGTGAAGCCAGAGTGATAAACACTGACATGGAGTTTCACCTTGTCCTGGGTTACAGTGTAAAATGTG